TAGTGAGATGAAATGGACTGGTATTGACCATTTTGAATCATATAATCATATGTTCTACTATGTCAAGAATGACAAATTGAAGAAGACTGGCATCACATTCATTGTCAATAAGAACATTTCAAGATCTGTCCTGAAGTACAATGCTGTCTGGACAGGATAATATCAATATGCCTACAAGTAAGACCAGTTAATATGACTGCACAAAGGTCGTGGAGGAGGCATCATGTGACCTCCTCCAGCCTCAGGAGGGGGAAACAGAATCACCATTGGCAGCCCAAGGCTGATTCCTATGAGGCCAGCCATGCCACCACCCTCAAACCTTTTCACCAATTTTGACACCAACCACCCCTCCCACAGCACTCTACTTCTCTTCTGGGTTTGATAATACATTGCAATGCCCACACAGAATTCACAGACAATACTTACAATTATGCGGTTTATTAGGGAAGTTGTTGTTAGGTGCCATTGAGTCAGCTCTGACCCATAGTGACCCTGTATGTACAACAGAATGAAACACTGTCTGGTCCTGTGCCAGCCTCAGAATCCTTGCTATGCCTGAGCCCATTATTGCAGACACTGTATGAATCCATATTAGGGAAGCAACAAGTTACAATTCAGGTTGAGGAACGCTCAGGATACAATTCTATAATCGGGACAGCCTCTCCTCTGCCATGCTCACAGGCATGCCTCTTTGACCTTGGCCGGCCTCCGCCCTAATTGGTCAAGTGTTACAAAGCTCTTTTAGCTCTGCCGGTAGGTGTGCCTAGGTGCACATCACTCCATCAGCAAGCCTCCTGCCCCAAAGCACCCAGCTTTCTGGTTGTGTGGGCTGGCAAGCCCCACACTCTGTCTTGTGCTGGTCTGTCGGTTCTGCTGCCTCTGCTGACACCTCAGTGCAGAGATCTCAGGGCCAAGGATGGGCTCCATTCCTAGTTCTTCTCTGTCTTGATGGTAGTGAGATCCCCACCCCCTTTTGCCTCTGGGAGGGCTCATTTTAAGCCTAGCGGAATGACAAAACTGACCAATCCCAAAATTAGAGTTTTATACACCTTATTTCCATGGTCCTACTCCTCAGAAGGAAGGTTGGGCAATCTACTTCCATAGTGATACGGCCTCAGAAACCCCAGGAGGGGTCACTATGAGTCAGATCTGGCTCTACGGCGTATAACAACACCACCACTGCAAGGATGCCATGTACCTTATTAACATTCCTAACAAGATTTCCAGTCCCCTTGGTGGGCCACAGCCCTTTATATTTGCATAGTCCCACCCAGTCATCTGATGGGAGTCACAAAGACCATGGCTAGAAAAGCCATACCAAGTAATTCACTGCACCACAACTCAACCAACCAAACACAACCACTGCTGTGGAGTCGGATCCGACTCATAGCAACCCCTCCTTGGGTTTCTGAGGCAGTATCACTACAGAAGTAGATTGCCCAACCTTCCTTCCAGGGAGTGGCTGGTGGGTTTGA